GGATTTGGGTATGTGGGCAGATTAGGGTGGGGGGGATAGGGTAAGGGAAAGACTGGGGTGCCAGAGTCACTAGTAGGCACTGCTAGTAGACCAGCTGTGGATCCTGAATCAGCCTCCCTGCCTGCCCACCCCCACCCAAATTGCACCATGTGCTTTATGGCTGCCTATTATTGAAACAGGCAGCTCTCATTGACCGGCCAATAGGATTGTGCGGGAGGCAGGGGCAGCTCCTAAAGCTTCCTCTCTCCCCTCCAGACTCACAGTTCTTAACGAAAAACTGCCCCACAGCTGCATTTCTGAGCTGCATGTGGGTAGGACAAGGGAAGCGGGCAGCCTGCCTGGAGGTTCCCGCAGCATCTGCAGGCCAGATCTGGTGGTTTGGCAGGTTGAATCTGGCCCGCAGGCCATATTTTGTCCAGGAAGTATGATTGGCAACAGAAGCACAAAAAGCATGTAAATATATATTTACCACCTCATATGTGTCGCTTTAAAGATACTTAATTCTTCTCTTAGTTACACTCATGAAGCCCTTTTAATTTCAGTGGGGTTGTATAAATATAAGTGAAGGATAGGGGCTTTATTTACCATTATTTTTCGATTCTGACTTTTTATCCATAATATTTGCCAACATGCTGGAGTAGAGGAAGAAGTTCCACTCATTCTCAGGTAGAAATCCAAGTTTGTCTAGGGCTTGATTTTCACCATAGTTACTCTGCATGATCTTAGTGCAAAGCAGGAAGGAGAAGCAGAGTTGATTTTCAGTGAAGAGGGCAGAAGAAACTGTCTGTAGAGGGGGAAAGGTGTGTGTCAATACTGATTATATAATATACTTACTTATACTTAAAAAACACACAAAGCAGATATTTAAGGCAATGTCTACTCTATAAAATAGGGGTGTGATTTTCTTGTTTGAATATTGCTAACATGAGTATAAATAGCAGGGTAGTCACAGTAGTAGCTGTGGGAGAGGCAATGGAGACACAGCTGAACCATGTAGCAAAGAGTACATACAGGTGGGGTTGTACACCACACAATTGAGCAGTGCTTCCATCGTGGCTTCCTGTGCTATTGAAGATACAATGCTATTTACACTGTGCTATCAGTATACATCCACAAGCATGGTAATCAAACCTCAGCTCAAAATACAGACATAGCTTCAGACACAAAGCTTCTTATAATAATTAAAATTCATATGTAAGTAACTGTATTGAATTTTGGTAACACCTCACCTTATAAACATTACTCATTAACATATCAATTATATCTTTAAGATGACTGTTAAAGCTGTCTGTCTCATTCTCAGATTCTTCCCAGTGCTCTTGGGTGAAATGCCTTCTTCTCTGCCTGCTAAGGGCTCGTACTGTTCCACATACAGAAGAAGTTGAATCTGACAGAGAAATCTGACTTTGCAGTTTATTCACAGAATCCATAGATTCTACAAAGATCTTATGGAACCACTCCAATGAAAACTGATACATACAGTTGACCTTAATAAGATCTGCCACTACAAAATATAGCACAGCACCTCGAGTTGCAATAGGGAGATAGTTTTTACGTGTTTTTTCAATCGTGGCTTCTGTTTTTGCTGATGCATCAATACGTTCAAAAATCTCTTTTGAAGTAACTTTTGTTCTTTGTAAGTTGTCAATGAGATCTTGGTCATCTAATAAGTGTCCTAAAATATAAAAAAGGTTTTATTCAAATTTAAAATTTATGAGCTAGAATGCAGCAGACAAATGAACACATTTTTTAAAAAATTAAGCCAGGCTGTATTTTATTAATGTTCTTTCTTAAAATGCCTCTGTATTTGTATTTTTTAGTTTAACTCCCCCACCAAAACAACAAAGTTTCACACTAAATCTAACTAATGATAGTATGAAATATATTTTACATTATTTGTGTTTTTAACGGAATTTCTTGTCTTGCTGTACAATTTATTTTTATATTCACACTTTTATATAAATAGTAATGACAATAAATGTACAGAAATGCACACATATAAAATGGGAAATGACTACTTAGGAAAGAGTACTGTAGAAAGGGATCTAGGAATCATAGTGGTCCACAAGCTACATATGAGTCAAAAGTGCACGACTGTGTAAAAAAACCAAACATTATTCTGGGATATATTAACAGGAGTACAGTAATTACTCGTTTAACATGTGCCCGCTTAACACGTTTTCGCAATAGCACGATTTTTTTAGGGAACGTTTTTCGAATAACACGCCCATCCCTGAAATAACATGAAAATAATCAAGTGGCAGACTACTTCGCATGGTAGTATAAATTGGTGAAAACAGTGGTAACACGCATGAGCGAATGAATACACATTTTCACAGCGCTCCTCCGC